TCAAGTTGCTTATAGTCTAGTACAGAATAAGAAATCCCTAGAAAGCATTATGCATAATTGCCTATGGAATGTTAATAATACCTTTCCTAACTCTGTAAATCATGATGATGAGAGTAAATGTTTTATTCAAAGATACAGCTTTTCTCTTGTTCGTGGTTTAGTCACTAGAAGTCTCATAAGACACCATAACTTTTCTCTCTGTGAAAATGCAACAAAATTTAGTTCACAAACACACTTACTAGGATCTGCTATTTGTAAGGTACTGTGCTAGACACATAGGGATATGAAAATTGAATAATTGAGGTCTAGAACATACTTTCTGTTTAATATATCAGAGCAGTATTGTTTCATAGCTTTCAAACTTTGTAATGATAATTTTTAATATCTTTTAAAGTGGGGGGGGCAGCTTTTGAAATAGAAGACAAAAATACCTCTGTACTCAAATCCAGACTTGTTAGCCTAGGGTTCAATGTCTCGATTCAGATCCTCTTTTATAACCCATATCTCTTTTGAGCTTTCTTTTTCCTTTACCTCAGCTCAGCCAGCCTGCTTGCCAGTCCCTGCACACAACTAACTCTTGCTTCTGTGCCTCTGCTTGACTAATTCTGCTCTGGGATGGCTTTCTGCCCGTGAATCCATGTCCATCATTGCCATAGAGTCTGGCCCCAAGCCCCTCTACTCCAAGGAGCCTGTGGTTGACGGCCCTGTCTCCTGTGTCCCTCCCACATGTGCATAGCCCATATGACTGGTAAAGGAACATTTCTGTGGTGTTCATTAAAGCTTCCCATTCTTTGTCCATATCTTGCTGGTCTAGATACAGCAGAATATAGATGAAACAGTCTACTATAACCAGGTCATTTACCAAGACTTCTAGGAGTGAGTCTCTCTGTATTTCAAAGATTTTATTTTGGTATTTTTGAGCTGCTATTTGTAGGAGAGGAAGAAGATTAGAAAAGTTAGGTGAGATTATAAGAAACAAGCCTGGGGTCCATAAGGAAAAACAGTTATACATCTCTAAATGATCCTCTCCTTCTGCTCCCAAACAGGATAAGAAATCTCCTTTACACCAATTTTGAATCCAATAAGGCTGTATTGACAAACTGTCAAGCTTAAGGAAAGCAGGGCTCTGCCTGTTAATCATCTCAAGCTTGTTGATTCTGCTGTTCTGTAATTCTTTCAATATTGTTTAATGTGTGTGTGTTTTATCTTCTGAACTGACTAAAAGCTTCTTGAGGACAGGGACCATGTCTTTTATTTGCTTCTGCATATTCTTTCCCTCATTTATTCCTTACGAGCATGTTCTATAAGCACATAAGGAACAGAAGTTGCAGCTTATGCGTTCCAACTACATTCCAGTCTAATGTTACACAACACACTTTATATGTATAATAGCTTTTTGCCTTCATGACAACTTAGTGAGGTAGGTATTCCTATCCTCATTCTACAGATGACTAAATTGAAATTCAGAGAGTTTACGGTCTTACAGCTAATGAGTAGTGGGATCCAGAATTAGGTCTGTCTGACTCCAAAACCTGTCTGTGCTTTTCAGTAATGAATATTTAAGAGTCTTTCATATTACACAGACTCTTTGATCTACATTATCAATATTACTACTGCTACTGTTACTCCTCACATCATCACCAAGAAGTAGGTAGAGCTAGCATTATCATGACCCCCCGTGTCACAGATAGGGAAACTGAGACTCAGAGACCTGTCCGAGATCACTCAGCTGGTAAGTGGAAGAATCAGGACTTCAGACAGACTTCCTGACTCTAGATCTTTTTGTTCCTTCCATGACATCACATTGCTGCCTTAATTCATTTGCACAAATGCATGATTATGTGGCCAGTTTTCACTGACACTTTTCCTACAGAACTGTCCATAAGCCCAGGCATTACATGGAGCCATGTGGAAAAGAAAACAATTCATACCTTCAGAAGGGCTTCCATTTTAATGGAGGGGTGATGCAAAGCACCCCCAAAAAATGCTTGAGAAGACTAGTCCACAAGTGAGGATTAAAATATGGAGCCCTTTGTTCAGTAAATTTGGACTGAGGAGTAGGGGTGAAACCAATAGACTTATTTGAAAATATTCCTCCTGGATTTAAATGAGAAAGTGCTTCATACAAGCCAGTAGCTAGCCCCAGAACCATCCTGTTAACAAAGTCTCTGGGTGATGGTCTGTGTAGCCAGCAGTTCATCGCTTTCATTGGTGGAATCCCTGTAGCTCCATCTGCCAGTCCTACTTCTCCCAGTCCTTGCTCAGCATCCCCTGCCTCACCTCACTGTGCCCTTTGGACCTCTGGCCTTTGTTATCTTTCAGATGTTTCATTCCCAGCAGGTTGTCCCCCTTCTCCTTTTGCATCACTTATTATGTGTAATGTACGGTATCACAAGTCCTTCAGCACATCCCAACTAGGAAATATGTATTATAAAGTATAGATACAGAGTGTGTATGCTCTCCACTGAACATTTCTACCTGACTGCCATGCACCTCAAGCTCTTTGTATCCTGAAAAATATCAGTGTCTCCTTATCAACTCTACTCCATCTCCTGTGTCCTGGCCTCACACAGTAGGGCAAGTAGGTCATCTGAGCTGGAGCCACAGAGACACTCTGCTCCTTATTCTCCTTTACCAGCCCCTTGCCCTTCCCATGGGTCTTCTGCTCAAGCTCATAAATGTTGCCTTCTCTTCCACGACCTCAATTTTAGTCCAATTCTGTCCCCCCACACATACAGTATTAGGTCAATCTCCTAACGAATTGTCTCTCTGCCACCAGTTCCAACGTATCTGTCACACTGCTGTCAGAGGTACTTTCTTATAAAACAAACCTAACTGGCCACACTTCGTGGGGCAAAATCTAAAGCTCCTTATTTTGACATTTAAAGACACTTGACTGATGGATCCCACACGACCCTTGCAGCCTTAACTCTTCTCACTCCCAAACCCAGGGCCCTTTCCTGACTTAATGAGAGAAGAGATAGAAAAGATGATCTGACACAATCCAGAAAGGTCTATAAAGTCACACAAATCAGTGGGACCATACAGAGCTCATCACACAGGTCTCGTTTGCCTGGAATGCTCTGTGCCCTCTGCCCAGTGCAGGACCCTCATTGTCACCTCCCTGATGCTGCCTTCCCCAGGCAGTTGGGGCAGTGCTTATCTCAGGAGCTGCCACGGTTCTTTGTTAATAATTCTTTCATGGCATTTACCCCATTATGTTCTAAGTTATTTTTTATATACAATAGAACCTCCACAGTTGATCGCCTCCCTACACTGACCACCTAATTAAGTTGACCAAATTTTCATAGACCAGACATATACCATATGTACGTGTCAGTACAGTGGGCCTAGTTCCTTATGTTGACCGTCTCTGTATGTTGACCAGTTTGTTACAGTCCCTTGGGTGGTCAACTTACAGGAGAAGTTCTGTATTTGTTTTACCTGCTCCTAAAGGGCAGCAGCTATGTCCAGTCTTCCTTTTCTTCACAGTTCCTGTCACATAGTTATTAAGCAGACATTGAACACGTGAATTCACAGTACTTCTCCAGAGCAGTCAGAGCAAGGATTCAGGAGACCCATGTCCTAGGTCCAACACTACCACTAGATAAGTGACCTTGGGTAAGTCACTCAGTCTCCTTTATTAAAGAAGGAGGTTGGACTAAATGATCTCTAAGGCCCCTTTCAACTTCAAGTTCTGTGATTCTGACCCCATTTCTTGGATCAGGAAACACAATTCTTCCTTCATAGCCTCCAGGAGCCTCAACTGCCAGCCATCTACATTTACCAAATAGATTTTTCAAACTCTTAGAAACTGGGCTTCTGGAGCTATCCACAGCTGCCCGATTAGGCTCCTGTTGGCTTATCCAGTGATCACCGAGCTGTGCTCACCCCTCCCAGGAGGCTTCACTGTGTCCATAGCTCTGTTGTGTGGCTGCCCCTTCCCAGGAGGGAGATCTTCTTTGTGCTGGCCTTAGGGACAACTGCAAGGGGCCAGTCATGTCCATCAATCCAAATCCCACAACATCATAGCTGCTGCCATATGGGTTCTTAGTTACAGACATGTTCTCATGATACCCATTTCTGTGAGAAACAAGCAGTTCATGGGGCTCTTCAAGGCCACTCTTAAGTATGCTGCTGACCTTTTAGGGGTGGGAAGATTGGAGTTAGCACTAAACAGGTATGTTTGCCATAATCTCCATGTAATAAATAAGAGCCTACGAAAAGATTAAATAAATCTTTCCTAATGCTTTTTGATTGGCTTAATCAATAATTAATCATCTTTAGATGAGGCTGTAACTTGTGGAGTAGATATAATTGGATTAGCTGAAAAGAAGCAGTTGGGGAGCTTTGAAGAGATTAAAATGGCTGTCAATCCTGTAATTAAACTGCCACAAACAAAAGCAATGGTGTTTTTTCAAAAAGAAATAAAGAGTGAAAGAGAGAGAAAGAAGGAAAGAAAAGTCATAGAGAAAGCCGGGGAAGGCCAACTAATTTAAAATGAATCAACAAGTACTTATGTGTTGTACTCTAGTGAGAGATTGTAGAGGCAAAATCAAATCTGATGGACTTAACTCCATGGATGAAATGCACATAACTAATCAGCCATTTAATTGTAAGCCTCAGCCACTGGGGCAGGTGAGATTTTGGCAGCTTCAACTTCACTAAAACAAAATGAATCCAAAAAAGGAGAAAAGATTAATTATTTAAAACAGAAGAGACCTGCTCCTTGTCCTGAGCCCATTTAGACCTTGACTTTTCATACTTTTAATTGGCTTAGTAGGTTTGGCCTGTGTGAATGAAGTCTTTTATCTCCCTCTTTTTCTTTCCATGCCCCTTTCATCTTTCCTATTACGAACACACAGAGAGAGCTTGAGGGAAAATACTTTGGTTTTTAAAGACTTTTCTTTTTAAAAGGATGTGGATTGGGGTGGAGGGAGGGGTATGTGTGTGATGCTGGTGAATACTTTTTTTTCTCTCTCTTTTATCTCCTTTTCCAGAGAGGAGTTGCTTAAACCAATGGGACTAAAACCTGATGGGACAATAACGCCTTTGGAGGAAGCACTCAACCAGTACTCCGTCATCGAAGAGACCAGCTCTGACACAGACTAAAAGCATCACCTGCTCAACTCTCAATATTGCTTTTATCAGCATCTTTTCTCTGTAGCTCCAGGGGAATCTATTCTCTAAAACATTTATGCCCTTGCTTTGGCTAGAAAACACATTAACTGGTTTACTCATTGAGAATCCAGCATATTTAAAAGATGATCCTGTGTTTTTTTGGTGATACTGAGGCATTCATACCGAGCTGCAGTTAGACAGAGTTACAGGGCTAGAAGCAGAAAAACCAATCCATTTCATCAGGATGGAACTAAAGGATTTTATTCTATAAAGCAGCCCTGGTTGGATCTGGCAATTCTGTTTGCCAAGATTCTTAGCAGAAGATTTAGCATGTCCTTTCTCCCTGTGTGAGCTGCCCCTTCTCAATCTCTGCAGCAGCCAGAAGCACGTGAGAAGCAGAGTGAGCTGGTAAATAAACCCTGAGGCAAGTGACTCCTTAGATCAGGACTGACTAGATGGAAACAAAGCAGCTGCTCCATAAAGTAAGCCCCACTCTTCATATCCATTTTGTATAAATGTGTAGAAACAACACACGCACACACAGCCCCAGACTTAACAAATGACACTCTAAAGCGTGTGTCAGTTATCTAAAACTTCAGAATACATTTCTCCCTGTAAAGAGTTATAAATGATGGTTTAGTTCCCAGGCAGCTACACATGCCTATTCATTCCCTAACGTACCTGAACACTAGTACCATAGAACTGAACCACCGTCTGTGTCAGTGCAAGGGAGTGTGCATTCTGAGGTGTGGCCCAGGGTGCCAGGAACACACATGGCCTCCATCCCAGCAGAGAGAGTGGGACTTCTGAGCAGTGCCAGTTCTCTTGTGGTCTCTGCCAGGGGTGGGGAGGCAGCAGCACCCATCTGTACATAGAAGAGGCCATTTACGTGTCTCTTGTCTCAAATCGGGGACTGTGTTTGCTGGTCAGTGTGTGTTCTGCCTTTCTACCCTATGTGATCAGTTTAATAGTAACTTTATTTATTTAAAAAAGAAAAAAGAAACACGTAGTTACTGCTAAACTGATTAAGGTTATTTTTACTTTTAGAATTGGTCCTATGAAGAAGTAGAAACTGAATCATTCAGTAGACAGTGAGCCTAGCTGATCAGTGGCTAAAGTTGAAAAGGGGTTGATTTCCTCTATATGTATGTATGTATGTGTGTGTATTACATATATATACATATATACATAGATAATGTGCTTAACCACTGCCTTTTAAAACTTAAAATTAAATAAAACATTGGGGTTGATTCAATTTAGCCATCTGCGTGTGTTTCTTTATAAATACATGGGCTAAACAATACTATTTCACAGTTGATGCTGTTTTGAAAGTACTTTTACATCTGTTATCTCACTTATAATAGGTAAATTATGTGAAGTATTAGTGAAAATGTCATTTATCCAGAAGTTACCTCTCTGTCAAAGCAACAAATCAGGAATTTTTAAAGGCCTTTAAAGCTGCCAATAAAGATGTCACAGTTTCTTGAGATTTACTCATAGGAGAGATCGTCAAGAATATCAACTTTTAGCCTCTGTACTAAAATCTGCATACACTTCTAGCATGTTTAGTTATCTGGCTTTTAAGCTCACAAAACAGTAGCAAAGAAGGAGGCTGCTAGATTGATTGGAAGAGTAAAAAATATTATTCAAGGCATAGCAAATCTGAGACTCTCTTTTTACCAAAGGATATTCTAGTTGACCTAGGAAATGTGTGTATAGCAGTATGTTCCACAGACTAATTCTCACAATGATGACCCTGCATTTCTTTAAAAGAATAGAATACTTTTTTTTAAGGCTAAGAAGAATATAATTCATTTCATAATTTTCATCCAAAATAGTTGAGGGAGAGGTTGTGAGTGTCCTATGTTTTAACAAACAGCAAATAAAATGACCCCTGGCAATTCATAACTTTATGTAAAAAAAGTTTAGAAAAAAGAATTTAAGTATTTTTGTTACATCATTCTACAAATGCATTTTTGAAGTATTTTTATAATTTCTACAAATAGCTTTGGCATGAGCGTCAGCTTACCTAAATGAAGACATGTTTAACAAAAAACCATCTTACCAGCTTTATGCAGCGTTTAAACAGTCCTGTTTAAGTAGCTGTGCTCTTCTGCTTTCAGTGAGTTGTTCCATTTTGTGTTTCTCCACGCTAAGCACTAAGCCTCGCGTTTGAAAAGAGTGATTTGTGGGGGGGAGAAGATGAGAGCAAGCTCATCCTTCATCTTTCACATGGGAAGAGAACTAACCTCTGTTGAGTGCAACTACGTGCTGGGCTTTTCGTGTATGTTATCTCATGGAAACTCACTCTCATGTAACAGATCCTCTCCAGAAAACTACATAAGTTACCCCATGTCACAGTAAGGAAGAGTCCAAGATGGTGGCCGAGTCCCAGCATCACTCCTCTTCCTCGCCCTCTGCACTCCTGGGCCCACACTGTGCCTCTTTAGGGCTCTGCAATGCTGGGAACAGAATGGGGTGGGGAGGATGGTCATCCTCAGGCCATTTTAAGCAATAACTATTCAGCAGTTTAAAGAACTTTTTCAGCAGGAAAGTGACCTGGAGTGAAAGTATGAGTGGGAAACTTGCCCCATTGGCACTAGATTGCAGATGAAGACATGAAATCCTTCAAGATAGGCCAGAGACCAAGCCTGCAGGTTGGCCCCTCTACCCACCACAGGGTACAGAGGAGTGTCCTTAAGGTATTGGAGCTGCTGCTGTAAAGGAACAATCACCAGACCTTTGTGACCCTTTCAGCTGCTCAGTGGTCCTGGGAAGCAGGCAGGGCAGGTGTTATTATCCCTCCTTTGTAAGTGAGGACATAGTCTGAGGCAGTACAAGTGACTCTAAATACACCCTCAGTGCCACATCAGTCTTGCCGCCTCCTAGGACTAGGAGGAGTCACCTGTATTGACTTTCTCCCCCCACCCCCAATTATAAAAGTAATATATGTTCATTTTGTGGAAGGTTTGGAAAATGGAGAATAAGAAGATTAATAACTTACCCAAAATACCACCGTCCTGAGATAATCACTGTTAATGTTTTAGTGTATTTCCTTCCTGTATTTTTTCTATGCATATATAATTTATTTTACTACAAGATTGGGATCATGCTGTATTTACAGATTTGTATCCTGCTTTCTTCTTTAACATTGTGAGCATTTTCCCATGTCAATAAATATTCTTCAAAACTTAATGGCTATCTTATATTCCATTCTATGAATTGTGGCAAACGCTGCTAATTGCCTATCCAATATTCTTCCTAACAGAAATAGTCACGACCTGTACTCCACCTAACAAAGAGAAAGGTGTTTGCTGCCTTTCTGGAAGTGAGCCTCGTTAGCATTGAAGAGCTACAGGAACCAGGAATGGCACCAGGAGCAGACTTGCAGCGCCTCCAGCACCAGTCCTCAGAAGCTTCAGCTGCACAAACCATAACACAGCTAGATTAAGTACCCAGATAACTAGTTTAGTCAAGGAACCATTTAAAGGTAGTGAGGAAGCCAGATGGCTTAGAAAAGTTTGCATGTAAAAAAATAATAATAAGCTGTCAACCATGCTTAGTATACAGTCCAGGTACTGGCATTAATTTTCTTGGAGATATTATTCACTGTGGTTTCAGAGGTGGAGAGGAGTGTACAGAATAGGGAGTGATGTGTCATTCTTCCAGGAAAAGCAAGGCTACGCTTGTCAGAACTATTGGATATGTAATGAGCACAATGCGAACAAATGAGCAGGGCTGGCCAGATGCAGTGGCTCACACCTATGATCCCAGTGCTTTGTGATGCTAAGGAGGGGCACTCTGGAGCCCAGGTGTTCAAGATCAGCCTAATACAGCAAGACCCCATCTCTTTAAAAAACAAACAACAACAAAAAAAAACAACAGGTGTGGTGGCATGTACCTATAGTCTCAGCTACTTGGGAGGCGGAGGCTGAGGAGGTCACTTGAGCCCTGGAGTTTGAAGCTGCTGTGAGCTTTGATCATGTCACTGCACTCCAGCCTGGGTGACAGAGCAGGAGCTTATCTCTAAAACTAAAAATTAATAGTGCTGTAGGAACACATGGGTGAGGAAGGAAGCGATCTGTAATAACTAAGAAGAAAAGGAAACTGAGGTTTCCAGAGAGGACTTAAAGAGATGTGACTTGATGTCCTGCTGAGTCCCCACACCAGGTCTTTGAGGAACATCAGAGCAGCCTTTCTTACAGAGGAGGGCTAGGAGGAAATAACTTCTCCAGAAGCTGAGGCACATCGTGGACAAGGAACACACTGTCCCATGCATCTAAAACTGTTAAGTCACGCAGCATCCTCATGAGTACCGAGCAGTCACTGACTGTAAGAGGCCATTTACAAGTCAATCCGTTTCCCCCACCCATTTACCCTCCCTAACACCATTCTGTTCCCCCTAAGCAGAATTACTTATACTCATCTTCCCCCTCCCCTCTAAAAGGCGTGTATAAAAATATCAGTGTCCCACCGGGATGTTGGGTAATCACTCTGTGAATGTCTCCATGTGCAAGGTATATATCCTTTCTCTTACTAATTTACCTTAATTGTGAGTTGATTTTTTCAGCAAACTTTCAGAAGAAAGGGCTGAGTTTCCCCTCAGCTCTACAGCAGGAAGGAAAGGGAAGAGAGGGAAAGCCATCATCAACCAACCTCCATTTCTCACCTCCAAGTTCTCAAGAATAATAACAAAATGTAGTAAGTACTTTATGACAGATGATGCACTTAAGAGCTTTGTACGATTAACCTCACAACAACCTTATGGCATCCCACCGTTTCTACTCCTGATTTACTGTTGGCAACTGGAGTCTGAGAAGCTTAGGCCACATAACTAGTTAGCAGTAGGTCTGGGATCAGAAGCAGGCAGACCCTGAGCCATGCTCTCTACCCAGGAAAAGGGGCTGACTCCGTCTTTTCTTCCTGCATCTCCATCTAGGGAGACTTTCTAAGTATCCCTCAATCCCATTTCATCTCTAGTTTCAAATTTGAATGTCTTAGAAAACTGTCTAGCCGAGTACGTGGGAAAGTCAAGACTTGAACCCGGCTGTTTGGATTCCACATCCCAGGTTCTTTGTACCAGGTAGACAGTTGGTTCTCAGGAGTGGCTAATCCAGCCTTCATTTCAGTCACATGAGAAATTTGGTCCTATTTCCCATGACCCCAAACTTCTTTTCAAGCCCTGCTTTCTTCCCCATAGGCAGAGCCTGGTTCAGACTCTAAAGCAGGGGAGCCTGGGGCTCTAGGCTGCACAGGGGTGAGTGGCAGAGGGGCCCCTTCTGACCTCCTACTCTGTACATGGTGTGTTTCTTTCTGCTACCTCTAATCACTCACCATCATCTTAACAACCATGATACCAATGTCTTACCTTTAAAATCTCTCACAAGAGTATTTCTTTTGGAAGAGAACCACTGCCCTGGTCTACCCACCCTCCACTCACATGCCTCCTATCCTCTGCCCCCAATCAGGCCTGGCCGTCCCAGACACCCCCAGGCAGATGGCAGGCAGCCCTTCACTTTCAAAGTCTCCACCAAACCCATCGTCTCCTCTCCACTAAGATTTAGAAAATCAGCCTATCCTGAAAGACCAAGCCACAAACCGAGACTTAATGCTTTCTGAAACAGAAGTAAAAACTAAGAAGAGCCTACCACTCTGGGCAGGGCCACCATTCTTGGCCTAGCAAGCTTACATGCCCTTTACTGTCAGAAGAGGGAATCAGAGACAGAATCTGTGGGTTGGCAGGAGACAACCCTCCCTGTTTTTCTTGGTGTCAATTAGCATAATATAAAAGGCAAGGGAAAAAATCCCTGATATCTATGTGACTATGTCCATCCTTTGGGGCTGATGATGGCCAAGTGACCCATATTTAAAAAGCATTTACAATAAAATGATGCACTTTCTTTTTGTGCCATCAGCTTCCCTGATGAAAAGCAGAAATGTTTTTAAATTGGCCCTTTTTGTCAGCTGTAATGATGGCGCTATATTTCAGCATGTCACCCTTGTAGGCATAGAAAGGGAAGGTAATAAAGGGCACAGCTGTAGACACTTTATGGCCTGCATGGGGGGCAGGGAGGGGAGAAAAGGGGAATGAAGGCAAGAAACAGATTGACTGTGTGTCAACAAGTGCAGCTGGGAAAAGAGAAAGCTCTTAAAGACCTCTGCAACTTAAAGTCCAAGATAAATGATGTTCCTATTTGGAAAGAAAAAAAATGGAGGTGAAATTCAATAAAGGACAGCTGAAAAGAGAAGGGTTCCAAAGGCTTTTCTCTGCAGCTAGGCAGCTCCCGATAGAAATGAGCAAAAGTGGCCACAGGCGAGGGGGGTGTGCAGTCAACAAAGGCCCATCCCAGCCAAGGCATTACCACACCAGGCTTGGCCGGGCTGGGCTCAGGGGAGCCCCGCCAAGTTGGGGGTGGGAATGGTCTGGCTGAGAGAAATGGCCCACTGAGCCCTGCCACTTCTACTTCAGGGCCTGCTTGGGCCTTGCATTTACGGGAGAAGGCAAAAAAAAAAGCACATGAGCCCTTGAGGGAAGAGGCTGAGTCAGGTTATGACAAAGAGAGCATTGTACTGGAGGTCAGGGGACCCACATCAGGTCCCAGCTCTGGCACTGACCAGCTTTGGGAGGTGAGCTTGTCCACAAGCAGTGTTAGCCCTGGAATCTGGGCAGGTCTCTGTGGTCTATGAAGACTTCCCCTTCCGGTGTCTCATTTGAATCTCACCAACCCTGAGAGGCAAGTTGGGATCCTTGGTCCCCAGTTTACACATAAGAAAGCTAAGGTTCAAGGAGGTGCTTGCTGAGGGCCAGGCAAATACCAAGCAGAGGAGACAGGATCCTTCTCCAGGAGAGTCTGCCTCTATCCCATTAGCCTTCAGGAGGTGACATGCCTCAGAAAATGGGGAGAGAAGCCTGCCTTCATGAGAACCCCACAGGGCAAGCCTCCAGGAAGAAGTAGCCGAGTTTTCTTGGCACAGAACGTGCCACAGATGTTGGCAAATTATAACTGTAAAGTTAGGAAGCACAGAATGGAAACCACCACTCAGTCTGGCTTAAATAAGAAGAGAATTTGTTCCCCAAACTAGAAGGCCAAGGCAGTTGATTCAGCAGCTCCACCATGTTACAGTGGCCATTGCTCTGTCATTTCCAGGGTGAGCTTAACCCCAAAGCTCATAACCAGGTTGCAGAGGTTCCAGGAAATATCTAGACATGATATTATCCAAGAAGATAATCTTTCCCTGCAACTCTCTCTTAAGAGTAAGGAAATGTCCCAAGTACTCCCAACAGACCTCTTTGAAGACAGAATTGGGTTACCTGACCATTCCTGAACCAATTATCCAGGTAAAGCCTGTTCATAGAACCAGGCTTGGTCAACTTCCCTGAAGCCCATAACACAGAGTGGAGACATGAGAAAGTAAGATCCTGTGGGAGCTGACAGGTGCTATGGTTCACGCCTGTCATCCTAGCATTCTGGGAGTCTGAGGTGGGTGGATTGCTTGAGCTCAGTAGTTCAAGACCAGCCTAAGCAAAAATTCAGAACCCCGCCCCCATCTTTACTACAAATAGAAAAACTGAAGCAGGAGGATTGCTTGAGCCCAAGAGTTGGAGGTTGTTGTGAGCCATTCACATCACAGCATTCTACCCAGGGTGACAGCTTGAGACTCTGTCTCCAAAAAAAAAAAAAAAATTCCTATTGGAAAGAAAATTGTGGAAACAAATTTTGAGTAGCAAACCAATAGGCACCAGATACATGGTCTCTGGCTAGGTACCTACTGAAATGGCTAAAATAAAAAAGAAGAAATGTGCCCCAAACTGAGATAAGTTGGCAACAGAGTGAAGCAACCAGATCTCTCATGCATGGCTGATGGGAGTGTGAACTGGCACAACCACTTTAGGATTTAAGAAAGCTGAAGACTGTGTACTCTACAACCCAGCAATCCTCCTCCCAGGACCACACTCAAAGAAATCCATCTGTATGTTCACCATAAGACATGGACTAGAATGTTCATGCATTTGTAAGAGCCTAATAGTGGAAAACCACTGAAATGCGCATCAGTGGTAGATTAGGTAAATAAATTGTAGTATATTCACCCAGCAATGAGAATAAACAATCCATACCACACGTGATGACATGTGGGAATCTCACAAGCGTAATACAGAACAAAAGAAACTGGACACAAAAGAAAACATAC